AGTATCAAGGAGGTCAAGTTTTGAGTTTAGTGAGAGTGAAAACTTACAATAAAGATAATCAAACGGTAATGAGTAAAGAATTAGAATTGGATTGACCTGATTTCGGGTGAGAGTGTGAGGCTCATAGGACTTTTACTAAATAAAGAACTATTTAGGAGAAATTTCAGTTTTAGTTTCGATAATTCTTAATTCTTTTTCTAATTGCTCTATTTGTTGATGATAATCCTTAATCTTTTGTTCGTTTAAGTTATCTTCCTTTTTTTGCCTTTCTATTATAGATTTGTGTTTTTCACAAGGAGTTCCGATACCATACATACAAGCATCTTTCGGACAATTCATATAACCTTCGGACTGTTCGTTTTCCTCTTGATATTCTTTGAATAATTCAAGTTGCTTTGTTATAATCTTGCTTCTCTTTTCTTTTAATTCATTAAGTTTAACCAATTTAGTAAGGTTTAACTTGTGTTCTCCACTTACCAAACTATTTCCCTTAATTTCGATTTCCCCTTTTAGTATCTTTTTTTTTAGTTCTTTCAATAGTTCTTCGTTTTTCATAAACATATTTTTTTAACAACAACAGTTATTCTCTAATCCTTCACTAAAATATCGAGCTGGAATAACTTCGTTAATTTCAGGAAAATATATCCTTTCTCCTTCATCCTCTATCTCATATTTTTTTAACTGCTCCAATTTGACATTTTTATAGCCTCAGCTGGTTAACCAATCTAACAAAGGTGCTTTTATTTCTCGTCCATCATCTAAAAAGACAGTTATTTGGGGTAAATCTACTTTTAACTTTAAAACTTTGGGGTGAGAATGTTTTTTATAAAATATTTCCTTTTTTTCTCAACATTCAGGATGGTAAAAATAACCATTAACCTCATTATTAATAATATAGGTAGAAAAACTTTTTTTCCCACAAGCACCACAAGAACTACCAAACCGAGTATTAGCACAAGAAGAATGAATAACACTATATATTTCCTTAGCTCCCCGACAGTCACTATAAACAACTTGATATTTTTGGGCTTGAATGTCTTTTAAAGAAAATCCCCCCCCACATCTATCACACTGAAATTCTTTTATTATTTCTTCCCATGAAGAAACTTTTCTAATATTTCCATTCTTCATATAACTATTTTTTACTTTTATTTTTTTGTTTCCTTCAATATCTCATTATAATAAATCTATTTTTTTCCATAACTTCCAATACTTTATTTTTTAAATGTGGAGGTATTCGAGTATTATTACCTTTTTCTCATACTCCTTTATGACTAACTCAAACGTCCATTATTCCTTTTTCAGTTCGGACATGAACATGAACTCCTTTAAACTCTTCTAATACTTCTCCTGATGGAAATCAAGTATCATATTCCTCGATTTCTTTAATTTTAGGAGAGACTAATATCTCTTTTTCACTTTGTTTAGTATCAAGGAGGTCAAGTTTTGAGTTTAGTGAGAGTGAAAACTTACAATAAAGATAATCAAACGGTAATGAGTAAA